TATTTTTGATCAGGACATGTCTTTTACCCCCCACATTAAAAACGTTACTAGAACCACCTTCTTCCACCTGCGTAATATCACTAACATTAGAAACATCTGATCTAAAAATGATGCAGAAAAACTGGTCCATGCATTTGTCACATCTAGACTGGACTATTGCAATGGTTTATTATCTGGGTGTCCAAATACTTCTTTAAAACGTCTTCAGTTGATCCAAAATGCTGCTGCCAGAGTCTTAACTGGAGTTAGTGGGAGAGATCATATTTCTCCAGTTTTAGTTTCTCTCCATTGGCTCCCTGTCAAATCCAGAATAGAATTCAAAATCTTACTTCTAACCTACAAAGCTCTCAACAACCTGGCTCCATCTTATATTACAGATCTTATTGTTCCATATTTTCCTAACAGAGCACTTCACTCTCAGACTGCAGGTTTACTTGTGGTTCCTAGAATTTACAAAAACAGAATGGGAGGCAGATCTTTCAGTTATCAGGCTCCTCTCTTGTGGAACCAACTTCCAATCTCTGTCCATGAGGCTGACACATTATCCAGTTTTAAAACTCGGCTTAAGACTTTCCTTTTTGATAAATCCTATAGTTAGGGTCGGCTTGGGTTTCCTGAGCTGTCCCTTAGTTATGCTGCTATAGGCTTGGACTGCTGGAGGACAAACTGACCACACTTTTCACTCTGCTACTGTCTTTACTTACTCTGCTCAACCTGTTTGTATTTGTAATTATTATTTCTATCTTTAACATGTTTTTTTTTTTGTCTTTCAGATACACCTGGACCTATACCTGGACCTACCATTCTGTGTTCCTCTGTCTCTCCTTCCTGTCCTCTCAACCAGCCGGTCAAAGCAAATGGCCGCTTGTCCTGAGCCTGGTTCTGCTGGAGGTTTCTTCCTTTTAAAAGGGAGTTTTTTCTTTCCACTGTTGCCACTGTGCTTGCTCAGGATGGGAGACTGCAACGAAGCCAAGATTCAACTTGTCTGTTGGATTCCTTAGATAGAGAACTTTACTAATTGGCTTTTATGTGAATGTTCCTGTAAAGTGCCCTGACACAACTTTGTTGTGATTTGGCGCTAAATAAATAAACTGAATTGAATTGAATTAAGGTCATTTAGCTGTGGCAGCCATCTTGAATCAGATTGACTCCAAAGGTTAACTGGTTGTAGGTGTACCCTCGATGGTTAGTTTCTGAGAATTTCTTTAATAACCATCACATGCACAGACTGACGCTGGCATCAGAAACAATGGCTGCCCATCATTCCTAGTGGTGAGTGATAAAAATAATATGTATTTATTTGTGAAGACCTGAAACCAGTGAGTAAGTGACTAAAACATTCAACCATTACCAAACCAGATAAAGACAGTGTGTGTAACTGTTAAAAGGTATTTTGTGGTACATTTTGAGCAGACACACAAATGTTAGGTCTCTTTTTCCCCTTCAGCTATCCTGAATTCAAACTTATGCCTGTGCATGTTGCTCCTCAGGAATGTCTCAACCCTAGGATCTTGCTCACAGGTCTGATCCTTCACTCTGTTCATTTGTGTGCTCTTGTCAGACGAGACGTTGCTCCACAGGGCGGATTGTGAAACGGTGCCTGCAGGGGAGAGATGCCATTTACCACTTCCAAGAATCTACCCGTGTGCCAATAGTACAACTACGACACAAAACACATAATGTACTGGCAAATGACATTCCTGAGAGGTGATCCTCACCTGGGCGTGCCTCTCTCACCTGATTTTACAAAGACAACATAAAAACGCAATAATGGTTGCCAGTTCCCAAGGAGCACAACTAAACGTGTAAAAATACACATGGGGGAAGGAATGTTTTAATCCTACACTGTTTGCGTATTTTTTTTATTGTATCTTATGAAACTGTAAAACGGTATGAGCCTCTCTTAGAGATTTGCAACTTTTTAGAGGGTGTCTTGTTATACGAGACATCTGTGTCTCTCTTCACACACAAACACACTCTGACACGCATAAATACTGTCAATTGTGCTGAACGCTGCACCTTTCTGACAACATGCGGGTGTTGATTTTTCCAGAGACTGAAGGAAAGATGGCAGAAAGTCACACTCGTGTCCCTGGCTGAACGCACGGCTCTGACGACAGCGCAGGTTAAATAGGATCAACGCTCGTTGTGGTGCTGAGTTGGCCTCAGTCAAACTGGTTTATCGTCTGTGAATGGCTGATCTGCTAGTTTAAATCTAGACTTCCTACTTACCTCAACACGGAGTCTTTAATCAGTTTACTGGTTTAAAGTGAGCTACAGGTGAAACCGCAAGTTGAGGGTAAGGTTTTATATTGTAATTCAGGGCTGGCCCTCCCCTCCGGTCTTTGTCACTTGCTTCCACAGAATTCATTTACAAGTCATGAATGCACTGACTGGTTGCATAACCATTCCAAGCATCTAGTAGAGCATTGATTTACAAGGCAGCTGTGTGCATGCGTGCGTGCACTAAGGCGAGTGCCCATCCTAGGGTCAAGGAGCAGTTTTACAGTAATAGCTGCTTTGCTCTTGTGATTGATTCAAGATAAGAATAGGTCATTGAAATTAGTTTCTTGGTGCAATTCTCCCAAACAAACAGTTTATGAGGTTATGAAACACACAGGTTATGAAACAGGACAGGTTTGTCCCTTTAGTACTAAACATAAGAGCCAAATGTTAGCATTAGCTTCTTTCTCCGCCTACAGTCGAGTCAGTAACTGAAAACATTATACTACATTTGTAATACCGTATTAAGAAAAATGGAACGATACATGATACATGATAAATGATATATGATAAATGGTGATATGATTAGATATGATCATTGCCATACAATTTATTATAACTAGACACTGAACCGGAAGCTGGAAGTTGAAGCCACAAAGCGTGAGCGCCCCCCAGTGGTTGTCTGTGGGACAATTTTAACGCCTTGCCCCTACAAAAGGGACAACTGCATGACTAAATAGAAAATACACTGTAGATATTCTTTTTAGGTCTCGATTTTCACCGATAGCTGTTACCTTGCTGCTGTATGTTCAAAAATGCTTTTTTTTAAATAAGTTTATTTTTAATTAGTTTTCTGAGGCTTAAAAATGTGTCAAGTTAAACTGTGAGAGTGTGACAGCTTCTTCTTAGCGAGTTCGGAGGAGGGGGTGCAGGCAGGAAGTTTGGGATGCACAACAAACATTTAATGTTTGACATCATTGTTAAATATTCCACTCTCATCTCGTCTAAACCAGATAGAGGCATCAGGGCCAGGAAGAGTTTGTTGGATTAAAACACATCAGCAGCAGAATATGACTGCATTGGTTGAAGTATAATGTCTTCACAGTCCTTTATGTATTCTCTGAAACTGACATGATGATAAATGTTCAACATATTGTGCAGCCCTGTTGTAATAAGCACTGGTCCCCAGTCCTGTCCATCAAGGGCCAATTTCCTGCAGGTTTTAGTTGTTCCCTGCTCTTCAGCAGGTCTTCACATTCTGTAGAATCCCACGTCAGTCATTCATTCACATCAGGTGTGTTGAAGTAGAGAAACATCTAAAACGTGCAGGATAGTGGCCGCTCAGAACCACGATATGATGTACTGTGATACAGTATACATGATACAATACATTGTGATTATATAAGATACATGACATGAAACACAGCAGCATGAGATGGTTTTGAACAGTACATGAGTGTCCCTGAGAAAACGTACCTCATCCAGTAGGTTCTATTGTTGCTTTAAACACAAATCTTTAAATAAATATGCAAACACAAAATGCACATCGTCTTCTGTCAGCCCTGTGAGGTAAACTGCATCATTCTGCCTGGATGTTAAAGCAGCTGCTAAGAAATGAAGACGGAACCAGAGGACAGAACACATGTGGAAAAACGAGGTCCAATCATGTGTTTGTGATTTTACTGAGGAGCAACCTGTCCATCTCTGCTGAAGCCCCTCTGCTGTCATGACGCCTGCAGCCACAACAACATGGCAGCAGCAGGCTGCGCCATCAGCACCTACTGTGATCCATTAACGAAACCCAACAGAACCACAATCAGTTCAGCACAAAACACGGGCCCTTCCGCTCTCCAGCCCGCACGCATGCACTGACACGTCCCACACCGACTTACCTCAGACATGAAGCGGGGCCAGGCGTCCAATCTGCTCCATTTCAGGCTGCGGGAGGTGCGGGGCTCCGTGCGGGTTGACCTGGCTGATGTATCCGCCGCAGCTCCGCTCAGCGCGGGACACCCTGACCGCACACCAATCCGAAGAGCCCCGGGTTCGCGTGTCCCGCTGTCAGAGCCTGTCCTTCTCTTTGGCTCTGGCGCTATCAGCTGCGCCAAGTAAACAGAGCTGCGGCTCTGCGAGATTTCAAAATAAAAGCTCAGCGTAGGCGTTGTAAACAAAAGGTCCCAGCGGGCTGTTTCCTGATCCCATTTACCTCGGAACCACCAGTGATCTATGTTTCTTTAGCTTACTGGTTAAATTTACTGTAACATGCAGCATTTTATTGATTTAATCAATATATTCAAGACAAAAAAATATTGAAAATTATTATTATAAACAGAACGCATATTTTTATATGAAAAATAGTAAATGGACTGAAGCTACTTGTATAGAGACTTTCATTTTTTATTTTTTCATATACCTTTATGTATACAGGAAGTCTCAATGAGTCACTAGAACTCATTTTCAAGAGACACCTGTTTTTGGGAGCAGCTGATGGGGGTTAAGCACCTTGCCCAGGGGGCCAGAGTGGGGAAAATGAGGACGGAGACAGGTGTGGGTGCTTCACATTTTCCGATCACATTTTGATGTTGATGGTACCGGGACTTGAACCTATGACTTTCCTATCACATGCTCATCTTCTCTAACCTCTTAGGCACTCAAAGCTCTTTACAACACAATCTGTGCCCTCATTTACCTCCAGACACACATTCATACAGCACTCTACACACATTCATACAGCACTCTACACACATTCATACAGCATTCTACTACACACACATTCATACAGCATTCTACTACGCACACATTCATACAGCACTCTACTACACACACATTAATACAGCACTCTGCTACGCACACATTAATACAGCACTCTGCTACGCACACATTCATACAGCACTCTACTACACACACATTCATACAGCACTCTACTACGCACACATTCATTTAGCACTCTACTACACACACATTCATACA